GGCTTGTACTAATCCTCTTTGGCAGCAAGCTATGACTGATGAACTTCAGGCTTTGGACAAAACTCATACTTGGGATCTTGTTGACCTTCCTCCTGACAAAACAGCGATTGGCTGCAAATGGGTTTACAAAATCAAGACTCATTCTGATGGCTCCATTGAACGCTACAAAGCTCGTCTTGTTGCCAAGGGTTTCAACCAGGAATATGGGATTGATTATGAGGAAACCTTCTCCCCTGTTGCTCGGCTTACCTCTGTTCGCAGTTTACTGGCTGTTGCTGCTGCTCGCCACTGGGAGCTTTTTCAAATGGATGTCAAAAATGCCTTCCTCAATGGTAATCTTCTTGAGGAGGTCTACATGCAACCTCCACCTGGGTCTACTTTTCCCCCTCATAAGGTTTGCAAACTACAGCGTGCCCTCTATGGCCTCAAGCAAGCACCCCGCGCCTGGTTTGCTAAGTTCAGTTCTACCATTCATGACTTCGGGTTCACCTCTGGCTCCTATGACTCTGCTCTTTTTATACGGACTACTCCTCATAGTACCACTCTTCTCCTTCTGTATGTGGATGATATGATTATCACTGGTAATGATGCAGCTGGTATTCTCCACCTCAAACGTTTTCTCCACCGTCAGTTTGAGATGAAGGACCTTGGTAATCTCAACTACTTTTTAGGCCTTGAAGTTTCTCATGATTCTACTGGCTCTTATTTATCTCAGGCCAAATATGCATCCGATCTTCTGACTCGTGCTGGTCTTACTGATTGCAAAACTACATCTACTCCAGTTGATCCTCAGATTCGTCTCACTCCTCTCGATGGGGCTCTCCTCCCTGATGCTACTCTTTATCGTCAGCTCGTCAGTAGTCTTGTCTATCTCACAGTGACTCGTCCTGACATTGCCTATGCTGTTCACATTGTTAATCAGTACATGGCGGCTCCTCGCACTCCCCACTATACTGCTCTACTCCACATCCTTCGATACATCAAAGGCACCATGTTTCATGGCCTTCACTACTCTGCTTCCTCATCTCTTGAACTGCGTGCCTTCTCTGATGCTGATTGGGCTGGGGATCCTACGGATCGACGCTCCACTACAGGATTTTGTTTCTTCTTAGGGGATTCTCTTCTTACTTGGCGTAGCAAAAAACAATCCCTCACTGCCCGTTCTAGCACCGAAGCTGAATATCGAGCCCTTGCTGATACTACTCAGGAACTTCTCTGGCTTCGCTGGCTCCTCACTGATATGGGTATTTCCTCTTCTGGCGCTACCCCTCTTTATTGTGACAATCAGAGTGCCATTCAGATTGCTCACAGTGATGTTTTTCATGATCGCACCAAGCATATTGAGATTGATTGTCATTTCATTCGACAGCATGTTACACGTGGTACTGTTCATCTTCTCCCCATTGCTTCTGCCGATCAACCTGCTGATATTTTCACCAAGGCTCACCCTCCTGGGCGCTTCCGTGATCTTGTTTCCAAACTCAACTTGGTCGATGCCTACCCTCCTTGAGTTTGCGGGGGGCTGTTAACATATAATATACATCCCACTATACACCCCACTAACATGTATAGCTGTAAAGGCCACACTTTCACTTTAGCTTTAGCATATCTCAATGTAATTAGCCTATGCATCCGATTCCATTTGTCTCCTTCTCCTCTCTATAAAGAGAGGGAGCTCACTATCTTGTATGGACTGAAATATAATATAACAACACCAATTCTTCAATTCAGTCTCGCTCTGTTCTCTCCCTCCTTACCAATCTTTCCGTTCAGCACGGCCATTTTGCTGGGACGTGCAAGCACAGGAACGATGAGGCAGTGTACCATGACTCTGAAGAAAAGAAAGGAAATCTGAATCCCGATATTCCATAGCATTGTCGGAGCGAAAAAGTTTGATGGTTTTGGAAAATTGGGTGTGGATCATTTGGGCAAATCGATAATAAAGGGTTTTGAGGTCAGACCGAGTTTTCATGAGAAAAATCCAAGTAAACCGTGAAAAATCATCAATGAAAACAACAAAATAACGAGATCCCCCCATAGTAGTGGTAGGGGAAGGGCCCCAAATATCCGAATGTATAAGATCAAAAGGTACACAGGAAACAGAAGTACTTTTATTGAATGATAAAGCAGGTTGTTTGGCAAGTTGACAGGGTATACAATCGAAAGTATCTGGAATTACATGACCCAATTGTCCACTAGAAACCAAAGACTGTAAGCGAGTACTAGAAATATGTCCTAAGCGACAATGCCAAAGCATGCTTACGGCCGATCCCAATAGTTTGCCTCGTCTGAGGGTCCTGCACCAAACAATGAGTAGCAGAAAAGGTGACAGTTAGACCAAGTTCACATAATTGACCAATAGAGATAAGGTTTAAAGTGAGAGCAGGGATATGATAAACTTGAGGTAAAGTTAAGGAAGAGGTGGAGACAGTACCAAGATGACGGACAGTCATGAGAGAACCATCAGCAGTTTGAATTGAGGGAATATGAGGAGATGAAGAGATGGAAGAAAATATAGTTGAACTGGAGGTCATATGATTACAACAGACAGAATCAAAATACCAAGAAGAGTTACCTGGAATTACAGACAAAGCAGTAGGAGGAGGTGTACCAGAAAGGGAGAGAAGGTGTTTGAACATGGCCTCGACGTCCGTTGGAGAAAAGAGAGGGGTAGACGGAGCCGGAGACTCAAAAAAACCCTCAGCGGCAGCAGCAGCAGTGGCGGTGTGAGGAGACTGATTCCCAGAATGAGATTGATTCCTGGAACGATGAAAGCTCCCCCGAGAAGAACCACCGCGAGAAGAGTGGCTGTTGGAGGATGAGCGGGATGGATGGCGAAAACGATCCTGTTGCAGATGACCAGGACTAAGTTTGTTGCAATATCGGCAGGTTCTGACCGGGCAATTGACCAGGAGATGTGTGGAAGGAAGGCCCCGATTCTGACAGTAGAGGCAGGCAGTGGTCCGCTGGGTGAATGATGGCCGGTACGGGGGAGTGGCAAGAACTGAGTCCACATGATGAGTTTGGAGAGTACCAAGACGAGTCTCTTCTGATAGCAACTCAGAAATAGCTTGTTCCAGAGTGGGCAAGGGATGGCGATAAAGAAGAGAGACACGTACGGGCTCAAAAGATGAAGTGAGAGCCATGAGAAAGTGCACCAACCTTTGCTGATTACGATAAGCAGTAAATAAAACAGCATCTTCTCGGTGAGGCCAAGTCGGTTCGGAAAGAGCAAGCTGGTCCTAAACGGAGTACATTTGAGAAAGGAAGTCATTAATGGACTGACTAGATTCTTGGCGCATCCGATGAAGTTGGCCCTGAAGTTGATATTGATGAGCAAGACCAGTAGTCTGGTGTCGTTCTTTCAAAAAATCTCATATGTCTTTTGCAGGAGTAGTGACAGAGTCAAGCTGAAAGCGACCAAACTGAAGACTGATAGAGGTAACAGAAGTATTTTGAAACCAGGTAATGATTTGGTAATTCTTACTGTCCCATTCCTCAAGGCGATCTTCATAGGTAGGAGGAGCAAGAGAAACAGTGGTTTCAGCAGTGTCTTTGACCGGTTGGGTATGTCCCCGGTGATAATTCGCCAGAGCTTCTTTCCTTTGAGGAAGGAAGACATGGCTTGGGCCCATAGAACATAGTTGGAACCATCCAAAATAACGGAAATGGGATGGGAGGCATCAGGACGATCCATAATAATAGTGGAGTAGGGCTAAATAGATAGGGATAGACCTGTAGGAGCAAAATTAGGTAAAACAGAGTGTACCAGTGAGTCCGGAAGGTCGAAAATAGCTAGGAAAGGTGGGCTATGTAGAGATGATGTCAGCAGGGTGGAAAATGATGTCAGCGGCGCACGTTAGCAGGGAGGGCGTGCGGCGCACGATAGCAGAGGGGGCTGGCGGCGTATGGTAGCAGAATAGCGCACGCGGGTGCACAATAGCGGAACGGCGCACGCGTGACTCACGGTAGACGAACGGCGCACGCGGGTACACGGTAGCAGGCGCGGCGCACGACAGGGCAGGGTGGAAGGCGCGTGGCAGCGCGTGTGAGCGTGGCAACGGAAGCGCTACTTATGAACCTACCTCCTATCGTGAGGCTTGTACTAATCTTCTTTGGCAGCAAGCTATGACTAATGAACTTCAGGCTTTGGACAAAACTCATACTTGGGATCTTGTTGACCTTCCTCCTGGCAAAACTGCGATTGGCTGCAAATGGGTTTACAAAATCAAGACTCATTCTGATGGCTCTATTGAACGCTACAAAGCTCGTCTTGTTACCAAGGTCACGACCATACAGTGTCTTCACCAACGGTCTGACACGACCATACAGTGTCTCCTATCCACTTTTATTTGTCAATTTATTTTCTTGTTTTGTTACTCTCTCCAAACTCAAGTTGGTTAGTGCCTATCCTCCTTGAGTTTGAGGGGGGCTGTTAGTATATATTAGTATATATATTAGCTGTCAAACCTTTAATAATGTACCTTTAATAATGTTGTTTGGTTTGTGCTTCTGCTTTCGGTTCTTTGGAGTTTGTAAGGTTCCTTTTGTTTTTCCTCTCCGCTATAAAGGAGAGAGCTCAACTGAACATTAGATACAACATTCAATACATGGTGGAATGATCATAACATTCAATCAAGATTATCACCACACCGCACCATCACTATCAAGTAGGAGAATGAAAAGAGTGTAATAACATCCTACACTTGGGATTTTAATCAGCAATAATGAATAACCACGAGGACAAACAGGACGTTGCAACAAATGGTGGAATGATCATAATTTCTCCGTTTTTTAGTTTTTGTGTTTTGTTTTCTTTGAATAAACTATTCAGCTTAGTGTATAAATTGTATCCAAGCTAATTAATTAAAAAATTGTAAACAAGAATATGAACAATGCAGGTGGAAATTACATGTGTGCACACCATTTGTCAATTTTCTCTGCCTAAACAACATTTGCAACAAACAAACAATCTTTTACAACATGTAAACTGGGCTTACCCAAATCTTTCAATTGGTTAACTCGAGTAACAGATTTGAGAATTTGAGCATCCCTGAAGAACACAATAAGTTAGTATCAATTTTTTCGAATCGAAACAATACACTTTAAAAAAAAAAAAAGATTAATTTGGTGGTCGAAGATTAACCAACCTTCCACTGCTCCTGCCAAGAAGATAGAGAGCGGCTGCGCCCAAACAGCAGGTGAGTCCACCCCACGGCGCCATTTTTGGAAAAGCTCAAGGAAACCCTAACTTTGAATCTTCGTATACAATACAGACATCATTCAGTCAAACTCCAAGCTTCTCAACAACAAAATTTAAAATTTAAATTAAAAACAGAGAAATTGAGCAAAATGGGGGAGAAAAGACCGAATTCGAAAATGAGTTCAACACTGAGAATTATCCTAAGATGAGAAAGTTGGGTTGAAAAAGTGAGCGAAGAAAGTGAATTTTCTCGGGAAAAAGGGGAAAGGAGGGAAGAAATGAAACTCGAATGGGAAAAAAGACATTGTACAGAGAGAGAGAGAATCCGATGCGAGAAGTAGAGGAGAGGGTGAAGAATTTGAGGAAGGAAAAGTAGTGAGGCAACAGAGTACTCTCGTTCTAAGCAGGGCTTGATGCACTTCATTGTAAAACAAAAAATAATTAAAATATTTTGGGTAAATTACACTGATATCCCTTAAAGTTTGGTTTAATTACATCTCACCCCCTGATATTCTGAATATTACATTCTCACCCCTGTTATAAAAGGCACCAACTTAAATAAAAAAATAGAAGAAATTACATTAAAAAAAAAAAAGAGAAAAAAAGAGGATTAGTGTAATTTTCCAAATGTCTTTATTGCGTCTAAATAATTACAATGATAAAGAATTAGTGTAATTTTCTAAATGTCGGGAGATAATATGTATTAAATCTAAATTTCAGAAGATGTAAGTGTAATTTACTCAAATATTTATTATTTGTTTTTAGTTTTTTTAATTTATATTTATAAGATACAAGTAAAAACAATATCGAAATTATTTTTATTATAAATTGCACAAAATAGAGCCCTCAATCCGTAATTGTGTAAGTGGAAAACGTGGACATTTTTTTTCTTTTAAATAAAATTTACAAAGAATAATGTTTGAGGGCCCAAAATTAGGGGCTCGAATTTGGCTCGAAACCCAAAACGATATCGTTTTGGGTTTCAATTTTTTTTTTCTTCTTTTTCTTTCTCTTCCTTTTCTTTCTTTCTTTTCTTCTTCTTCGTTGAACACATGAGAAGAGCAGAGACGAGAGAGAGAAACAGAGTCATCGTCGTCGTCGTCGTCGCAGCTTATCGTCGTCGCAGCTCGTCGCTTGTCGCTCGTCGGCATCGCAGCCCCGCCTCCGCCTCCGCCTCCGCCTCAACCTCCACCTCCACCTCTGCCTCCGCCCTATTTTGTTGGCTCCTTCAGTCCAGTTCTTCTTCTCCTTCTTCTTCTTCTTTCCCCTAATTTTGAGCCAAATTTGAAATAGTTAAGTAGCAGGTATGAAGAAAAAAAATTGTATAATTTTATATATTATGAGTCATAATTAAAAAATAGAAAAATTAGTGAGACCACTAAAAAGATGAGTACTAATAACTTTAAAGTGATATGGGTCTCACATGATAGGATGTTTTGCTCTTGCCGTTTTTTTTTTTTTTTTTTTTCACTTCATTAGTGGTCTATTAGTGCTCCCAAATTAGTGGGATGAATCATTGTTGTTTTCAAAATATCTTATTGATTGGAAGGAATTTGGTACTATTGGGGTGTTTAGCATAATTTATATAAATGTATTTATTTTGATAAATATATTTATATGAGTCATATCAATTTTTAATTTTTTATAAATCTTTTCATAAAAAATTCAAAAAATATATTTATTTAGATTATTTTAAATATTCCTAAAAATACAATAATATATATTTAGAAAATTCTATTATGATGTAACATAGTCTTTTAGACTATTCAAAATTGATATGGGAATGAATAAAATAATTTTGTTCGAAACATTTTTTTGGATAAAATTATAAATATACTTTCGAAATTTGCTTAAAATACAAATTACTCCCATGATTTAGAAAATTACAGATATCCCCTTGTCAAAAATTTTAATTTAACAGAATTAACTAAAAAAAATAAAATCCTAATTACTCTTTCACTTTTATTTCCAAATCCGGCTCACTATTTATTATAAAATTAAAAAATTTTAAAAATAAAATATAATTTTAAAAATTATAAAGAATAATTTATATTTTCATCAAATCTCATTAAATATATTTGTTATGTATTAATGCGTGTTGGAAACATCGGAAGGCTTCCTTTCTTTCATTGTTACGAGCCGAATTAAGGCCCATTTCCGGTAAGGCGGTGTTTGCCACATTTTCTAAACAAACAAGTTTTACCCTGTCTGTGAGAAAAAGAATCAGAGAGAGAGAGAGAGAGAGAGAGAGAGAGAGTGTGAATGGGATTGTTGTTTACTGGGTGTGGAGGTTTGGGTTGCTTAATGGATGAAAAAGGTGAGGACTGTAGGGGATTAATTAAAGTTGTTCGGTGCATACTACTTTTGACTTGCAAGGTAAAGTGAAGAGGAATATGGATAATAAAATGCCACCCTTCTCATTTTTTGTTGCTTATTTTTCTTAGATTAATTGTTTTTATATTAATTAATGAAAGGTGATTTGAATAACATCGGTCATTTGATTAGTTTGTGAGTTTTGTACTGAGAGTTGAAATAAATAATATGTTCTTTTAATTGAAATTGTGAAAAAAAAATATTAAAAAAAAAATTAGTGAAACATCCCTCTCTAATTTTAAGTACTATGAGAGTTCTAACATATTTTTTTTTATTAGATAAAGCCTTTCGATAAAATTTATCTGTAATCATATCAAATAAATTTTAAAATTTCTCTGTGTCGGAGTGAAATTTCTCTGTGTTAAATTTTTTCTGTGAAAATGTTGAGGGACCCAAACTATTATAAAAATATTATATATCATTTATTTTATAAAATCTTAATATTAGAGATCTTAAAAAAAAATTACAATGAGTTGAATTTTTTTCAAATATCTCTTCTTCCTCAACAATCATTATTAAACAAATATGATCATAATCACCTTCAATTGGGATGTCTTATGTAAAACGCAACCCTGTGTTTGATTATGAAATTTGAAGAAAGATTTGAAAAGGGAAAAATAAAATGTGTGTGAAATTAAATAAAATATAGATATATTTTATTCATATTTCACCTCCTTTTTTTCTTTACCTTTTTAAATCTTTTTTCAAATCTTACAACCAAACACTTACCAATGGGATTATCCCAAAGCATAAAGGTAATGTGATAGCCCACCTTATAGATAGTTTCACCCCTGGCTGTGTTGATATGTATGTTTTTGTTTTTGTGTTTTTTGTGGTTTTATAATGTGTATGTATTTTTTTTATTTTATTTTTTTCAATTAAAAACAAAAAGAAGTAAGTTCTTGCAACAACCAAAAATGTCCAGACAATACAGCCACACTGTTTCCCATTCAATAATTCATCTTGTTATTGAGAATGAAGAAAGAGACAGAAAAGAAAAAGAAAAGATAGAAAAAACACATTTGGTAAAAAGACAAGTTTTGTTTTTTGGATATATTATACAAATCAGATGGTTTTTATTATGTGCTTCCAAACAGAGGAGTGCACAAGCAACACAACAAATAGTTGGTCTTGGTGATAATTTTAGTCCATTTCGCTTTGTCTTGATTTAACTAATTTTCTCTTTCTCGCTGTATGTTTCTTTTTGTGAACGAATTTTCTTTGGCCCGTGCCATTTGTTTCTTTTTGTGAACGAATTTTCTTTGGCCCATGCCAATAATAGAGTTCTCACTTTAAAGTAACCATTGGGTGGTGTTTGGCAAGTTTGGTTGGGGCTAAAATAGCCACAAAAGACAAAATAGGCTATTTTAGCCATAACAAACAAAACATCACATCCAACGCATAATCATTACACTCTTCTCTCACAAAAAAAGTCAAAAAAGCCAAAAAGTCAAAAAGTCCTTTCCAAACCAAGCTTTTTAACCAAGGCTAAAATAGTAAAAAAAAGCCAAAAAGCCAACTCACTTCCCAAACGGAGGCTAAATGCACATAAAATTTTCAAAATAAGATACAAATTTAAGATAAATATTGGGTTTCACCTCGAGTAAGTGGAACCCATTATTCGTCTCACATCTGCATTGTGAAAATCTTATTCAAGTCAATTCTTTCTAGAGTAGAACTTCTTTATTTATTTATTTTTATTTTTTCCCCACTTTCATGTATTGGTTTCAGAATCTCCAAAAATTGCTTTGCTCTGCATAACATCAACCATCCCAGGCAATTTCAATATATCATGTAATCATGCAGGACCAATACTAAAATTACTATATTGCATGCCCTGTCACAACCGTGAGGAAGTTAATACAAACTTGTTAAATATTTTTCGAGTTACGTAGATCCGACAATAAATTGTGCATTCGCCAAGAGAGGTGGATCAGAGTACTTTCCTGTCAGAATTTGGGACGAAACATACAGATTTGCTGCCTCTGTGTAATGGTTCCCATCCCAATTCACATATTCAGTCGTGTTGTTGCATGGTTTTGCTGTCACCAAGCTCCCATTCAGAACCTTGGTTTCGCCACACGCAATCCGATTATCAAAATTTAAAGGCAGCCCACCATAACCACAACAAGCTGCTAAAGACTGTTTGAACCCTGGAAACCATTTTTTGCAACATTATTAGATAATGCGCGAGTTGAAAAGATAGGGGAGAGATTGAAATGCTAATGAACAACTTACCAAATTGAGAATAGTTTGATATTAGGTTGAGTTTTATGGCGAAAATGTCGACATATGTCACAGTGGCTGCAGGAAACTGTCCCTTGAATTTGGTGCATAAATCATGGAGTTGTGTGTTGAAAAGCTTAGCCATACTGTTTTGTGATCTGATGCACCCATATTCATCCAACTTTGACGGGTCTTTTCCAAAATTTGCAATTATTCTGGGTAAGCATCCGAGGGGGCTCGTGTTATGAATCCAAAAAATCCTCGCACCATGGTAATATAGTTCCTGAAATCGATAAATTTTGTAAAATAAAATAAAATGCATTATTTCGGTATCAGGGTTGATTTGTGCAACCTTTATTCCAGTCTCAAACTCTGCCAAGATAGTTGGAATTGAAGCGATAACTTGGTCTTCGGATTTTGAATAAAATGCAATATCAAGATCATTCTGACCAATGTCGAACATGTACAGACCCTGCTTGAAATTCTCTTCTGGAGGGAGGAATTTTCGGAACTGCTTATCTAAAACAGATCCCAAAATACTACAAGTTAAATACTTTCCAGGAAAATAAATTGATTCAATGAATGGACTCTGATTTAGCCTGACCTGCTAATAGTTCGAGGACTCGAGCCTTGAATCTGATAAATTGAGCAACCTGGATTCGAAATGAAAATGGGCTAGTAGAACTGGCGTCAGCTGGAAGTATCGTGGATCCTCCGGTGGCAAAGTTGCACCCGGTTTGGAAATCTGGAGCACCAACAGAATCCAAGTAGGGATTGAGGAAAGGCATGCCCATTGAACCCACTGCATCATATGAAAAAAAACAACCTAGTTTGAATTTAAAGTGGTTATATTTATATTGACGGTTTAATTTCTCAAGAAACAACCTAGTCATACATAGTACTTCCAGTTAGTTATATTGAAAGCAATATCAATCTAATTTCTCAAGAAACAATCTACTTACTCATGGTACTGACAGTTATATTGAAAGCAATCTCAGTCTAATTTCTCAAGAAACAACTTTTTAAATTTTTTTTTATTTTATGTAGTACTTAGTCGTAGTAACTTATATTGAAAGCAACATTCTAATTTCTCTAGCTCTTCCATCATCATCATCTGGAATATGAAAGTCACATAAAAAATAAAAACAATTTATTCTTGGGTTATTTTTGTTATTAGTAAAGTTACTTAAAAAACTAAACCAATCTAAAAATCTTAATATATAAAATTAAAATAAGTTTACTAAAGAAAAAACTAAATTAATATTTTAAAAAAATTACAAAATGTTAGCATTTATAATAGAAATTTTTTTTAAACTAAAATTTTAATTTTAGGATCATCTAATCTAGAGACAACCTATAAAAAGGATAATAGTAATAAAAAACAACTAACAACTTTTGAAAAAAATCACTAAAAACAAAAATAAGTCAAGCCTCTAGTGAAAGAAAACATGGGGAAATTAACCCAATTTGCAAGAATGAAAATTCAAATAATATGTAAAATGTAAGATTAATGCATTACTAATGAAATCGATGATCAAGCGGCCATCGCAGAACCGGCCAGCCGGTTCGAGGAAGTATGTTTGGCCGTTGGGCGGACCCAAAGGAAAAGCAATCCCAGCAGCTAAACCACCAGTGTCTGAATTCGAGTCACCAAAGTTGAAAATCGCAGGATAACTGAAATTGTTGGAGGAGCTGCTAATTATCGGCAAATACGAACAAAACAGAGCAAGTGTTGTTGGGAAAGCTATGATCAGATTGAGAGCCATGGTAATGGGAAGTCAAGGAAGGTAAGGATTGAAGTGGAAGATTGTTGTTATTGTTGTTGTTGATAATCTCTGGTTTTTAAGGTGGCAGGAACCAACGCCAAGGAAGTGTTTGGTTGGTATAAGGTAAACAACGAGTGTCTTGCAAGGTCGAGGAAAAACGTAGACAATGACCAAGGGTGGGTTGGTTTGATTTCAATTTTTTTTTTTCATTTTTAAGGTCTTTAGTCTTCTTATTTTTTATTTTCTATCAGATGTATGTAATTTGTAATTAAATCAAATAATTATAACAACAGACTCCTAAACTTGGGATCTCAATGGAGTTGGGATCCCTCCTTGTAACTCCTCCTTGTAATCTTTCTTGTAACGGTTGAGATTAGCTGTTGCAATATCCAACGGTTGATTTCAATTTCTTTAGCAACTGATCTCAGCCGTTGGATGTTGCAACAGCTGATCTCAGCCGTCGCAAGGAGGATCGCAAGGAGGAATTATAAGGAGGGGATCCGGACTCATCTCAATGACCTCCAAAATGATGTGGACCAATCATGTATTTTTGTTTTATTTTTTTTTTTTTGTTTGTTTTTCTTCCTAAACCAATCACAGGTGAGCAGGGTTGTAAGAGTTACGTCTTTTTGAGGGTTTGTAACATTGTTGTTATAAAAATTATTTTAAGTAGCTGGAGAGAATTGAAATAGTTTATGGAAATTATCATATTTTTTATACAATTTTATTTTTTTTTTAAAAAAAATAGCATTTACTCAATGTGTTCACTTTATTAAGGTTCTGTTTTTTTTTTTTTTTTTTTTTTGTTTAAATATTTTTTGAATGCTTTTAGCAACTAATCTCAGCCGTTGGATGTTGCAATAGCTGATCTCAGCCATTGGATGTTGCAACAGCTGATCTCAGCCGTCGCAAGAAGGATCGCAAGGAGGAATTATAAGAAGGGGATCCGGACTCATCTCAATGACCTCCAAAATGATGTGGACCAATCATGTATTTTTGTTTTATTTTATTTTTTTTGTTTGTTTTTCTTCCTAAACCAATCACAGGTGAGCAGGGTTGTAAGAGTTACGTCTTTTTGAGGGTTTGTAACATTGTTGTTATAAAAATTATTTTAAGTAGCTGGAGAGAATTGAAATAGTTTATGGAAATTATCATATTTTTTATACAATTTTATTTTTTTTTTAAAAAAAATAGCATTTACTCAATGTGTTCACTTTATTAAGGTTCTGTTTTTTTTTTTTTTTTTTTTGCAAAAGATAAGAACTTCAACTTCAGTTTTTCTTCTTCTTACTAAGTTCTTAATGATAGTTGAATAAAAAGTAAGTAAAACAATTGTTAAGAAAAAATATTTTTACATTATTTTTTCAAAAATGATTTTGTCACGACCCGAACCCGCCCCTATGGATTAAGGCCATAATCGGCCAGTAATTACGAGATTACCTACGGCCTCAAACCAAATAAGACAAAACTCATCAGAGTAAAGGGGCTAAACGGAAGCAAATTTAAAACTTTGTCCATAGAGCCGTACTTATATGCACATCATAACATTCCATACATACATATGTTAATAACTCACAACAGAAAGTATAGTAACATAAAGTTCTATACAGACAGGATCATTCAAATCTAAGTCAGCCAAAACAAAGCTATATACAGACGTACACCAAAGTCCTCGCCAACATGACAAAATAACATAGAATGGCAGAAGGGCGAAGACGTGTCTCGTGCGTGAGACGGATAGGCTGACTCTTCAAAACCTTAGTTGTTCCATACAGACTTCACTGGGGCTGGGTTTGGACTTCTCTTGGCTCACCTACAAACACATGAATGAGCGTGAGCAATAGCCCAATGAATAATATCAAATAAAAGAGTTATACAAACGGTATGTAGAACAACATGTGTCAAACAGTGGCCCATTCATGCATGTCAAACTGGCCTCTGACCCATTCGTGCATGTCAAATTGTCCTCTGGCCCATTCGTGCATGTCAAACTTTCATTTGTGTCAAAACGGCCTTTGGCCCAATCATTTATATCAATCGGCCTTCGGCCTAATCATTCATGTCAATCGGCCTTCGGCCCAATCATTTATGTCAATTGGCTTTCGGCCCAATCATTTATTCTTGTCAAAACGGCCTCTGGTCCATTCATTTGGTATAGCAAACATTGTCCACCAATCGAATACCAATCATTTATACAACTTAAATGGACGTAAGCAATTGGACAATAACACATTTCAGATATCTTTGTTAGATATTACTCACAGTGATCGGCTTGTAGATTTGCCCTAGAGCTTGACCCTACACATCATATAACACATATGGGTCACAAACGATTCAATCCGTTCTTTAATTCACATATTCCTCTTTAAGCTTCATTCTTATCTCTTTAACTCAATTATAATGCTTAATGCATGCCTAAGAGTGCTTGCAAGTAAAAGAGAACGGAAAACGAAACTCAGAATGCCTTTTCAAAATTTCAGAAAACAGGGTCCCTGCTTGAGCATGGACTTCCCCGCTCGAACGGACCCTTGAGGCCTGCTAAAGTACTGGTTAGGTCGAATTTACGCTCGATCGTCCACTCTGGCGCTCGAGCGAAAGGCCTCTCTACATGGCTCCCCGTCGAGCATCAACTTCCCCTACTCGAGCGGACACCATGTCTGCAGAAAATGCTAGGAGCCCGTTTTTCACGCTCGAGCAGTGGTTTCCCCGCTCGAGCGGGCACCAAATTTTCTGGGTTTTCCAGAATGTGTTCTTGAGCTTCAACTTGATATTCAAAGGTTCAAAATGCATTTTTTTGGCTCAATCTTCATATATACATATACTAACATGGTATAAACACCCATTTACAACATTTTGAAACTCAATTTCACAATATAATCACATGCATGTCCCAATCAATACCAAACTCACTTTCAACATAACAATTCCATGTATTTCAACTCATATTTCCATAAATTGTACATGCATGTAGAATATAACTCCCATTTCAACTTACATGTAAATGGTGATTACAAACATGAGCTTTAACCAAAATCCTACATGGATTACACACATTGTGCTCAATTATGAAAATTCATAGCAATTTTCTACATGCATGCATCAATTGACTTCAAATTCATTAAATACTACACAATTCCTTCACTTATGGCACAATTCTTGCTCTTGATCATTAATCCACTTTAATTTTACAAAATTACAAACTAGAATTCATGAAATACTCACCTAGGAGCTTTAATTCTCACAATCTAAAGCAAATTCTTGAGTAATCTTCAAGACTTCCAAGATTTAAGAGCAAAACTTAGATAATCTCCCTTTTCTCTCTCTAATTTCGGGTCTCTCTCTCTCTCTAGAGAGTTAAATCAGCCAAAATGGACAAAAAGAGGAATTGAGTGTGTATCATGGCCCTTTTTAAAAGCTCTCTCAAATACATTCTTTTAATATAAAATAATTGGACATCATAACATTAATTTAATCCATTTAATCTAGTCCAAATAAATTTTCAATCAAATTTCACCGTAGACTTTAAAAATTACGCCAATCATAATGGCGTAGTCAATTTCAGTTTCTACGGCCAATAAGGCCTTCAATTTAATTTTCCAAAGCAGATAATCAAACAGATATTCCTACAGTGAACAGATAGAAATTCAAAACCACATATTTTCACACAAATGGCACACGAAATCATATCAAACACATAATCACATTCAAAATAAGGACCAATGAACACAATACGGAACAAGGTTATCACAATCTTCCCCCCTTAGGAAGTTTGGTCCTCCAAACTTACTTCACATTTAGTCAAAAACAATTCGGAACACTTTTTATTCCACGGTTCCAATCCTTTTTTATAGTCATTTACTTAGTCTCAAAATCAAGCAACACTCTATTCTTAATCAGTCAGAGACTTACATTTTCCTCCATACAAGACTTGTATGGTGTCGCACCAAATTAGAGTGTAAGTTGTCGTCGTAAGCAAGGTCTACCAATGATGGATAGATCTTTCCAACTTCCCTGAAAAATCTAATGCATATTTTTGGAGCATTCCTCCTAAAAATCTAAAAGGTTCTTTCTGATTATACCTCAATTTGCGGATGGAAAACAGCGCTGAATCATAATTCAGTCCCCATTGCCTCTTGAAGACTTGTCAGAATTCAAACACATTTTAGAATTTTTATCTAAAACAATAGATACTGGGACCCCATGCAAACGAGCAATCTTATCGATGTAAACAGTGGCTAGTCTACAAGCACCATACAAAAATTTTACAGGGAGAAATGAATGAACTTAGTAATTCTTCATACCATAACCCAACGGGACTTATACCTTGGGTACTCAAGGTAGCCCCACAATGAACTTCGTAGTCACATATCCCTATTTCCATTCCGAAATAGAGAGAGATTAAAGTAGTTCCGCCAATATCTGATATTTAACTTTGACTTGTTGGCACTGAAAACATTTAGACACAATTCAACAATTTTCACAACAGGTCGCCAACATATTTATTTCAAACGCCCACTAACTTTTATCTAAAACAATAGATACTGGGACCCCATGCAAACGAGCAATCTTATCAATGTAAACAGTGGCTAGTCTACAAGCACCATACAAAAATTTTACAGAGAGAAATGAATGAACTTAGTAATTCTTCATACCATAACCCAAACGGGACTTATACCTTGGGTACTCAAGGTAGCCCCACAATGAACTTCGTAGTCACATATCCCTATTTCCATTCCGAAATAGAGAGAGATTAAAGTAGTTCCGCCAATATCTGATATTTAACTTTGACTTGTTGGCACTGAAAACATTTAGACACAATTCAACAATTTTCACAACAGGTCGCCAACATATTTATTTCAAACGCCCACTAACATTTCCATAGAAGTTCGGTGAATTTCCTCGTCACAGAAGTTCAATTCATTCTTCAATAATTTCACAATTCACAATCCAATTCAGTACTTAGTTTAGTGACTCATCACGATTATCCAAGATCAATCAAAAGTCTTTAGGAACATAAAGTGGATCTAGACACTGATTCCCAAGTCAACAAAGGTAACAACGAAGCAATCAATCACTTGACATACGTAAATCATATATCCCCACAGCACCAATTGTAAAGCACAATAACACCGATGCAGTTGACTTCAAACATAATACATGTGTTCTCAATTCATTCAACAGTTTACGGTTTATAATTCAGTTCAA